ACACACACACACACACACACACACACACACACACACATACACGCACGCACGTACGCAGTACACACACCCACGCTTAACTTCCCGCTGCTATAAGGCACAATTTGTTAAATAGAGTTATCGCTAATATCTGAAACCGAATCCGTAAAATCACGCGAAACGCGCGCCGTAAAGTAATTTTGCCTTAGATTAAACAGCGAGCAATTGCGTTTCGGCGATCGGCGGCGGCGGCGGCGGCGGCAGTAGGAGCGGTGGTGGAGGTGGCAATGGCGGCGGCGGCAGTAGAGGCGGTGGTGAAGGTGGCAGTGGCGGCGGCGGCGGCAGTAGGGGCAGTGGTGGAGGTGGCAGTGTCGGCGGTGGTGTAACTATAAGTTCATATAATTTTGTATATATACATATACGTGTGTGTGTGTGTGTCACATGGCAGCTACGACTAGCTTGTATAAAGTCACCGTTTGTTCGAAGACGACAGGTTGTATATAATAATATGCTATAGTAATCATGTTGTTGTTGTACAGCAAAAAAAACTGTGAGTTGTGGGTTGTGAGATATAACAAAAGCCACGTGCTTTCTGTGGAGAGGTATCGCTTGAGAGTTTAGGCAGCTGAGACACGAGCAGACGTGCAGCTGCTGTGGGCGCCATGCATGTTCCGGTCCTCGCTTAGGGTTTCCGGAAAATGTTTCATGTGTTATAAACAAACGAACTTCTGTTGATCGCGACTATATGTTTACGAAGCTTATCTAGTTAAAGAGAACCGTTGGAAGAATGTTGGACAGAAACAGGGAAAGACATCCAGACTCTAGCAGACGCACAGACAGACGAACAAAGAGACGGTCGTAGCACTTACGGATAAAATGACAAAGGGGAGGTTGATTAGCGGGCAGATAGACAGACGGACGGACGGACAGACAGACAGAAGGTCGCGTGACGGACAGAAAGACACAGCAACAGCAGAGCAGCAAATTGAAACAAATTGTATGACTGAAAGAGATGTAAAGAGAATGAGTGAACGGCGTGAGGAGTAAAAAGTTGAGTAGCTATATATTATTCATTATCGTATAATGTGTTGTGTAACCTTGAGTTGCTAAACGTATAATCTAGGACATTGGTAGTGTCCGCTGTGTCCACTCAAAGCTGTATGAATATATCGAATCATTTTACCAATTAGAATTTTATGACAAACGATGGTAGCTAAACGAGCAGGGTTGTGTTAGGTGGGAGGTGTTGCTAGCCTCTCACCCCGTGTGATTATTCCTTCGTAGGACAGCCGGAAAATCGGGGTTTATGAGTTGTATAAATTTCGTCGCCGTGATCGAATCGATGTAAAGATTTTAATTACGATGATAATTTTACCGAGTTTTTATTAAATTATTTAATTAGAATGGATGGTATATATGTTGAGATGAGATGAGAATCAGACTTCTAATTTGCGTACTATTATCGCTTGACTGTGTTTAGCCGAACCCTGTAAGTCGGCGCCTAGTTTTCGCGGTTGAGAACGTCTGTGTTTTAATACTACCTTTGCTTTAGCACGCGGATTTCAGTCAATCGTGGACGTTGGTCGCGCTTCAATTCGCTTAACGAGAGCCTAGCAACTTTTACTAGCAGGAAAGTGCCATTAGCATGCGCGGTGATTGCCGTTGTTACAGGTATAACATGCGGTGCGCTCATTGTGTAAGCACATCGGGGCAGAAAAGAGAAAGTGGCAATCGCTCATTTAGCTAAACGGAAAACATCGGTGTAAATACGCGCGTACCGGAGCGCGCCCTGTGTGTTGCCAACGTGAGTAGACGGCCATCATCGCCCCAACAGATTCCCTGTGTCCGTGTTATTGTCGTTACCACCACGCTGCCACCTCGACTGCTGTTACTGCTGCCATCGGTGGCTGCTTTTACTGCTGCTAGCGGTGGCTGCTGCTGCTGCTGCTGCTAGCGGTGGCTGCTGCTAGCGAAGGCTGCTGCTGCTGCTGCTGCTAGCGGTGCTGCTGCTGCTGCTGCTGCTGCTGCTGCTGCTAGCGGTGGCTGCTGCTGCTGCTGCTGCTAGCGGTGGCTGCTGCTGCTGCTGCTGCTAGCGGGTCATTGCTGCTGCTGCTGCTGCTGCTGCTGCTAGCGTGGTCTGCTGCTGCTGCTGCTGCTGCTGCTGCAGTTGTCCTGTATCGGCCTCGGATGTGGAAGATGGCTGCTGCTATTGCGGAGCGACAGAGAGGTGCTGGGACGCAGGCGAGGTGGTAGGCGGGCTGGTAACTATAGCATACCATATCATCAGAATACGGTGCGCCGCTCCGTTAAGTCGCCATTGAGTAGTGGGCAGGCGGTGAGTTGACTGGCTCGGCCAGTGGTCACCGCTTAGCCAAACGCTATGTTATCAGCTGTACATTTATTGTAACGTGAGGATTTACTATTTGTTGGCAGACAGCTTGTGTACGCAGTCTTTATGCTTCAGGTGTGATTGTGAATATTACTGAAGAGAAATAGAAACGTTTCAAGTGGTATTTTCTCCGTGTTCTCTTATGATATTGGTCTCGATGATCTCTTGATTATCTAGCTGTTATTCGTAGTGTTATGTGTTTTCATTGTTGGCTCGCTTCAGTGTTTAATTTTTCCGGAGTTATTGTATCCCCCGCGACGAAGTCGGCGGGGATACTATGGTTTCATGTCTCCCCAGCCGCCGCCGCCGCAGACAATTTCCCTTCCGCTCTCTAACTCGGCCCCTAATTGACCTAGCGCTACAAAACTTGGTATACTTACACATCTTGGGGAGAAGGTGAGCAGCGTACCAAAAACCAGGTCACTACGACCTTTATTTGACCTTTACCTTGACCTTAATCATATTTCCTTTCCGCTCTATAATCGGCCCCTAATGACCTAACGCTACCAAACTTGGTATACTTACACATCTTGGGGAGAAGGTGTGTCGCGTACCAAAACCAGGTCACTACGACCTTTATTTGACCTTTACCTTGACCTTGATCATATTTCCCTCCGCTCTATAACTCGGCCCCTAATTGACCTAGCGCGACCAAACTTCGTATACTTACACATCTTGGGGAGAACACGGGGGCAATGTAGTTGGCAACAACTGCCCTTTCTAGTTATATATGCGTTGAACGTGATGCCAGTTCTCACGTGCGAATATCCCAGTAGCTGCATCTCTGACAAGTCATACAAGACAGCTGCCTGTGTCTTTTATTCTTTCCCATTCAGTTTAAATTGAATGTTTAATATTTTAATCAGCCACCTCTTTATCTACCCCCCCCCGCCAAATAAATTTCATCCATCCAAAAGTAAATGACATCCACCCTATGATGGACCGTCCACGTAGGTTGAATAGCTCGCGTTAGACATTCCACGGTGTTCGACAATGACAGTTCGGCATCGTTCCGCGAATATCCCGGTTTCCATGACAACACGCTAAATGTTCCTCGAAGATATCCCGATGAATCGAAGATTTACAAAGGAAATCCATTTTCTATCAGTCACTGTACTAAGATAAAAATTTACATAAATCAGTTACTTTGTTACTTGAGAAATAACAATGCCACCTGCCGACGCTACATTACAAGGCAATATACTTTCATCATTATTTTAGCTCATCTTGACATAGTCAGATGGCAGCTTGTAGAGATCGCATGATCGTTTCCGTGCGTCCGTCCGTGGCGTCCGTCCCGGCGTCAACAGTTGGCAGGCAAATCTTAACCGCTCGACGTACGGGTCACGATATTCGGGTCGTTGGGGGGGATTTGTCAAAACGAGTTGGGGATGTCGAAGCTGGGGGTCAAAGGTCAAAGTCAAGAGGTGTAAAAGAAGGGGGAACATTCACTCCTAAACTTAAGGTATATGGGAGGAATGCAGAATTGCGGCACAAATCTAAACGGCTCGACCTAGGCTCGTGATAGTCGGTGTATAGCATCATGGTAGGAAAAACCATCACTGTGGCGAAATTGGAGTCACAGGTCAAAGGTCAATGGGCACAGGGCAGATTTTAGACATTTTCTGAGGACATGGTCTGACGGAGCGATTGAAAAACTTTTTTGTTTCAGCGTGAGCTAGCATTTTATGGCTTTATTTGAAAAGGACCATGAAATGTGTCCCTTCTGCTGACATGCGAAGAGTAAGTGTCGGATAAACTTTTGACCCTCAAGAGAAGCGTTAACATGGATTTGTTGACTGTTAACAAGGAGTGAAACTGCTTTTGCTATAGAGCCCCTCCCCCTTCCCCTCCCCCACCCCCTCCCCCCACCCCTCCCTTCCCCGACCCCTGCCCCCACCCCCTTCCCCACCCTCCCCCTACCTCCATCTGCGATAGTGGGCGTGTCCTAACAATCGTCGTGTACGCAACTGCGTGTCTGCATATCTGCGCCTAACAAATGTGTCACTACGCACAACTGAAATTTTACGTTTATAATCGTAGCAACAGACCTCAGATGAGCCCAGACGCTCTGCGGCTCTTGTTGTAGAACCAATTTCCGCGTAACACGCAAAGCAGGCAATGTATGTGTTTTGCAATGAAAGGTAAGCCTCGTGAATGCATGCTAAGCTGTCAGGGGAAGAGCGATCTACGCTAGCCTATAGAGCAAGAAGACAATAAGTTGAAATACCGATCGGCCTCTTTCGTTGGAGAGATAACAAAACGTTTGTACACATCTGCCAAGTATATACTTTACTTACCAATGCCGAATTGCTGATTTGGGAGTGTAATACCTGAATGGACTACTCGGTGCCACCACCGATCTAGATATAACCCTACGCCCTGATCTATAGATACATATAAGAATATTATAAATTGAGAACTGATATACGTATATGTGTGTGTGTGTGTGTGTGTGTGTGTGTGTGTGTGTGTGTGCGTGCGTGCGTGCGTGCGTGCGTGCGTGCGTGCGTGAGGGCGGACGGACGGACGGATCGTTAGATATAGATAGATAGATAGATAGATGGGTGGCTGGATCGATGGATATATATATATAGTTAGATAGATAAATAGACATTCACATACAGCTACTAAGGAGGAGGGATGATGGGAGGGAACTGTCTTACCGCTGTTGTTTTTGTTTAAACTGTAATACCGACGGCTAATCTCCATTACTATTTACCTGCGACCGCAATCCCAGATTTAAAACAAGCATGTAATACAAAAGACCGTGCCACTACTATATACCGTCGGATCCAGGGTACGTGATCTTAACTGAGCAGGGTCGGTACCGAAATACCTTGGCGGGCATGTTGTACGTGTACGTACCTGCGAGCCATACACTCAAAAACTATAGTTATCCATGCTCTTGCTTGCCTGCGTTTGCTAGGGCTGGAATACACGGCTACAGGCTTTTCATCCGTTTCACTACGCCCAACTTTGTTCTTTTTGAAATATTAGTTCCGACCTTACGATGTTATATTACTTTGTTTGCGTACGTTGCAGTAAATAATCCCATACTAATCTCGTAATAAAATATCCCGTAGTAATTACTATGTAGGATCTTGCACATTTAACTGTTTTTCAAGATCGGCTATTGTCATATAAGTTACGGCATACGTATGAACGAACGCATGGTTACGAGTCGTATGTATACGCGCATACATTGGGAATATTGTCTTTAAAATGTGTGAACAGGTATAAGAAAATGTTTATTTGGTGAATTGCTGGAGAAACTGCTGGTAAGAAGCATGTGACATCGTTTATCGTAATAACATCTAACAACCCCGACCCTTCTTCACACAAGAATACACAATAAAAAATACACGAACTACCTAAAGAATATCAAAACTATAGGAAAACTTCGGGTAGATTTTCGTAGAATGCCATTCGATGTCACATATCAACTCTATATACATCTAGTGTTATGCATGCAAAACATACTTATGCAAAAGACCCCTAAAACATGGTTCCGTTGAACGTGACAAAAGGTAAATCGATATCGGTGATCAGCACATAGAAAATCGTCTGCTATCAATATTCATCCGCGTGATACCAATTTGACTGAGAGGCGTCCGCCGGTGACGCATTCGAACGGGAAGGTCACACAGGTCATCCTTAGTCTCGTTCACTTCCGCCATGTCCAGTGTGACGTCAGCCAACATGTCCTCGTACTCGGCCGCTGTCTTTTGAAGGCGAAGTCGCTGAATTTCCTGCCGAATGTCGATGAGCTGCCTCGCGATGGTTTGATCCTGCATGCGCATCTCTATCTGTCAAGCACACGTTAAAGGCACGCAGCAATAACCTAGGCTGTGCTGTAGTTGGGGGGTGGTTGTAGCATGATCATGTCACATCACGTAAGGGCTGTGACATAATTTACATAATATTTCTCTTAAGCCCAGCCCTAATGCTAACCTTAACTCTATGCCTATGATTAGTTAGCGAGCGATAGAGAGAGAGAGACAGAGACAGAGACACCGTCAGAAAGAGACAGATGGGGGGGGAGAGAAGCAGACAGTGAGAGCGAGAGAAAGAGAGAGGCAGAACAAGTGGACGGGAAGGAGAGCTAAAGAGAGAAAGGCGTACAAAAGAAAAAAGAAAGGAAGAGAGACATACATATAGATCATATTATATATGAACAAAATAAGTACATTCTATTCTCAGGGAGTCTCTTATCGTCATGTTCAATCTCATAATTTCGTACTTACTAGCTCATGTCGGAGCGTTGATAGAATCTGGTCCATGTGGATCTTTCCATCTGACGTCACGCCGTCGAACGACAGCGGATGTCGATGTGCAGCGCCACACACGCGAAAGTTCGCCGCCAACGCGCCCTTCACATCAAGGTTCAATCTGGTCACCATCACTTTTAGTTTATCGAAGTCGTTTGTCAGTTGTTGCTGTTCTTGGTGCTGTTGTTGTTGTTGCTGCTGATGCTGTTGCTGCTGTTTTTGTTGTTGCTGCTGCTCCTGTTGTTGTTGTTGTTGCTGCTGCTGCTGCTGTTGTTGTTGTTGCTGCTGCTGCTGCTGTTGCTGCGATTGGTGTTGTTTTCGTTGTTGTTTTTGTTGTTGTTGTTCTTCTTCTTCTTCTTCTTCTTTTTGTTGCTGTTGTTGTTGATGATACTGCTGCTGTTGTTGTTCTTGATGTTGTTTTTGCTGTCGCTGCTGTTGCTGTTTTTGTTGTTGTTGATGTTGCTGTTGTTGTTGTAGTTCTTGGTGTTCTTGTTGTTGCTGATGTTGTTGTTCTTGTTCTTGGTGTTGTTGCTGCTGCTGTTGTTGTTCGTGTTGTTCTTGCTGCTGCTGCTCCTGTTGATGTTGTTGCTCCTGCTGTTCGTCACGTTTATTGTTCGCTATTTCGTTTCTTATAGTGAGCCGTAGGTTGACTTTTTCCCGCTTCACTGGGAGCAGTCGGTCACGGGCCACCACCGACTGCTGTCCGTTAGCTTCCGTGCTAGCCGCCGCAGCGACATCAACACTCACTCTCACCCCGTCGCTTCCGCCACGGCGCGCGTGTGACGTCACGTCGTCGTCTGGCGCGCAGTGGTAGACGGTCGTGGTCTGTGACTTCGTCGGTGTTCGTCGTAGCTTCACGCTGCT